TCCTGGAACCCTGACTCCAGGAAAGGGCATGTCACAAAGAGGGAGATGAAGATATGGGTGTGTTGGGAAGGAGAGGAGCTGCCACACAGCTGGCATCAAATCAAAGGGGATATTCCTGAGGTCCTGCCTGCATAAATCTAGCTCCCCCATATCATGGCCCAGCTACAGCTGTCCCTTCAGGGTCAACTCCCAGCCATAGAGCGTTAGGGGGGTCTGTCAAATAATGTGATCTGGCTGAGAGTTCAGGGCTCCCTTGGGCTCTCCTCCCACAGCCCTGGGCTGATGATGCTTTGACATAAAAGTGGGGCTGTTTCCTGGCCTGGGATGTGCCCCAGGTTCCTCCCGCCCCTGCGTCCCACACTCCACTTCAGGCAGTTCAGCACTGTGTGGCCTCCTTATAAAAAGGAGAGCCTGAACGTGGCATGACAGTGACTCACCCTGGCTGCAGGCGACTTGTGCAGCCGCCGCCCTGGCCTTCAATTCCCACCGCTCACACCAGGGCAGAGTCTGGGCAGGGCAGCCCCAGGTCCCACCAGGGCAGGGGAGCACCCAAAAGTGCTGCTCCAGATTCCCCCTTCCAAGGCAGCAGTGAAGCAGGTGGGGAAGAGAGAGGAGGTTGGCTGCCCCAAATCCTTACCAGGCTGGATTTCCCACCAGCGAGGCTGGCCGAGGAAAGGCAGTGGCAGAGGGAAGTGGGGGCAGAATGGGCTCCCGCAGAGCCCCCATCCCTAGCTGCTGTGTTCGGGACGATGCCAGGAAGGGCGGGGTGAGCCAGACAGCACTTAGGAAAGGTAGAGGCAGCAGGTGGGGGCTGGGAGAAGAGGGTCAGACAGACAGTTTCAAAGCGTTTCCATCTCTCAGGGACCAGCCCCAGGGCACAGCTCAGTACTTAGCATTCCTGGGCCAGGCACGTCTCCCACATCCGGGCTGTCCTTATTCATAACCCTTGAGAAGAGTTAGGGGATTTCAGATTCACAGCAGAGAACAGCTGTTCTATCTCCAGATTAGCCTCGCCCCCACCGCAGGGCATTGTGAGCCCTGAGCTGCCATAGGGCAGGGGGTGGGAATCCAGGCCTCAGTCTCCTCTCCCTCCTGTCCTGCTGCTAGAACGGGTGCCCAGAGAGCAAGTCTCCCCTTCCACTCCCAGATCAGCCAGTGACTTGGCTCCAGGTCCAGCCTTGCTGCCAGAGCGGGAGACCAAACCACCCCCTGGATTGCAGCTCAGCAGGACCCCAAGGCCAACTAGTCACACAGCCCCCAGCCCAAGCAGGTGATTCCCTCTCTCCCATCTGCACATGGGAGGGCCACATGCCACGGCTCTAGCGCACAGACATTGGAGCTAGGTGGCCAACTGCTTTTCAGTCCCAGTGCGATTTGCTAAGTGCCTGCAGGTTCTGGCAAAACAGTGCCAGGCACTATTCTGTGTGTGTAAAATGCCCGGGCTTCAGGCCCTTCAGATCCGAAACCTGCACCTGAGCTGCTAACTCTTTGATGCCTCTTTGAAATGGACGTGGCTGTGAGAGGCGCCTCTCAAAAGAGAAGCTAGCGAGGCTGGGCTTTTCCCCTCCCGCTCTTTTAGTAAAGATCTGTTTTTCCTGCTCCATTTCCATAGCGGGCTCCACAGAGAAGCAGAAAAACATTTTCTTTGCTAAACAGCAGCTTCTCTCTTTCAAGAACAGCCTCGGCCTGAGCTGGGTCATCATCTCCACAGACATCAAAGGCGCAGCCGGTTGGCTTGAAATGAGACTGCTGGCCCGCATCTTCAGGTTCCCGCAGCAGGCAGCGGCTTAGAGACAGGCTGCGTTAATTACAACAAAGTCACCACGCCGCTGAAGATAGAAAAGGCTCCTGTGTCAAAAACGACGTCTTCCTCCTCAGCAGATCCATGGCCCATATGCAGTAGGGTCAGAGCCGCTCAGTGCTAGCTGTAGAGCAGTGGTTCCCAAACTTTAACAGCCCGCGAACCCCTTTCTCTAAATTGTGAAATCTCATGAACCCCCTTCTAAAAATGAATATTTCCAGGGTTTTAAATTTAAATTTCCTCAGTGTGATGGATGCGCTTGCTTTGCTCTGTATAGCTCTTTGAAGTCCGGAACCTTTGGAGAAAGATAAAGTCTTAGGTCTGGTTCAGCATCAAGCCTGTTTCTGTATTTCGTTTTCAGATGTGCATACGAGGAAATCGCTTTCTCGCATAAGTATGTTGTTGAAAATGGTAACAAAACTGCAGCAGCTTTTTCTGCCAGAAGGGGGTACTCGTTTCTTAAACTCAGCCAAAAGTTGATCAATGACAGATTTCTGAAACTCCTTCTCAGTTCGTAATCACAGGAGATCTCAATCAATTTATCTTTTTCCTCAGTGTTCAATATCTGTGTTGAGAAAGTGGGATCATCAAAAGGGTTGCGAATCCAGTCATTATCGCCTGATATAGCTGGAAAGTAATCCCTGAATGTTGTGCAAAGTCCTTTTAGGTGTGCAGTTATATTGGTTTTAGTGCACTGATCCAACTGAAGTTTATGTTCTGCCAGGAAGTCATGAAGATTACTGAAACACTCAGTTTGATTGTTTTCCAAACAACTTTCCCAGAACTGCAACTTCTTTATCATGGATTCAACTTGGTCTTGCACATTGAAAACTGTTATATTGAGACCTTGAAGAGCTAAATTTAGGTCATTAATTCTTGAGAAAATATCTGCTAAATAAGCTAGGCTCTGGAGCCAGACATTATTTTCCATACAGCTGGCAAGGTGGAAAGGGGGGCTGTTGACAAAAAACCTAGGATTTCCGTTCTAAGCTCAAACAAGCGCACCAGGATTTTGCCCCGTGAGAGCCATCTAACTTCAGTATGGGTCAACAGACAAGCGTGTATACTACCCATTTCTTCACAAAATACGTGAAATATTCTGGAATTTGTTGGCCGTGATTTTATAAAATTCACCATTTTCACTGCATTGTCCAGCACTTCCTTCAGTCCCTCAGGCATGTGTTTTGTTGCGAGGGCTTGTCTATGGATGCTGCAATGAGTCCAAGAGACTTTTGATGCAACCTTTTTTGTTCGAGCTACAAATCCAGTATACTTCCCCGTCATTGATGTGGGCCCATCAGTGCAAATGCCTAGGCAACCAGACCAATCTATTTCCTTTTCTTGAAAATATGCATTAGTCAGAGATAGCTTCTCCAGTTGTACGTTCTTCCAGTGGTCGGCAAAACAACAAGTCTTCTTCAACCAGACCTTCATTCACATAATGTACAAACAGTAGCAAAATAGCTAGATTAGCTACATCAGTTGATTCATCCAACTGTATAGCATAATATGGACTATTTTTCACTCTCTGTACAATTGCGGTCTCTATGTTATTTGACATGTCATTAATTCTTCGTGACAACGTATTATTGGACAAAGGTACCATGTCAATCCTTTTTGCAGCCTTTTCTCCGAGCATGCAATGAACTATGTCTTTTATACATGGACCAATCAAACTCTCTGCTATGGTATGGGCTTCTGATGCTTTTGCGACTCGGTAGCTCACGCGGTATGATGCTTCAAGTGCATTTTCATTATCAGTACTTGCTTTGGATATAAAACTGGTAATGACACTTTTCCTCTCAGCTAATTTTCGCTTGAAAAAAATCAACAGGCTTGTCAAGTTGTGCAGGATGCCTAGTTTCTAAATGGCGCCGAAGTAGAAAAGGTTTGAGGCTGCTGTTTGCTAGAACATCACCACAAATCACACACAGTGGTTTTGGACATTCTTGATCACCAATGAATGTAAAGCCATATTTTATATAATCATAATCATATTTTCTTTTCTTTGTAAGTGACTTTCCAGGACCATCATGATCATTAGACGTAGATTTTCCACAGTGTGGACTTGAGGAAACACTAGCTGATTCTTGTGTCTTTCCTTTTTCAGCCACTTATCCATTGAACTTGTGTACAAAAGTTCTAATAAAAACAACACAGAGAGACTGCTAACAACCAACAAACTAGAAAACGAGAAGATTCACTCAAGTCTCACTGAAGCAAAACAGCACTCCAGAGAGAATGACAATTACAGAGGCACCTTAACACTGCTACAATGGCTACAACGTGCTTCTGGCTGGTTTGGCTCCCAAACAGCTTTTCTTCCGCCATGAGGTTTCTCCCTAGGAGGGTGTCCTGCGAGGGACAAATTAGCTTGGACCATCCCCCACGTACAGCATTGCTCCTGCTAACTCTGCCCTCCATGCCAACTTCCCCTGTCTGACAAAGACAGGAGTCCGAGCTGCCACCTGCAGGTCTGGGGGTCTCAACTGACACCCTGCCCACCACAGGGCTCAGGCTACTGGCCCTGCGCCAGGGCCTGGGCTGCTGGATCCACACTCCCTGGGGCTCCTCCTGCTGGACCCCATTGACCGCCCCAGTCAACTGAGCTCCACTGAGCTTCTGCTGCAGGTCCCGCTGACCTTGGGGCTCGGGCTGCTGGCACCAACTGCCCGGCCCCGCTCTCCCTGGGGCTCGGGGCTGCCAGCCCTGCCGGAGCGCTGGGGCTCAGAGCTGCTGGCTCCCCTGCTGATGGGGGGCAGGGCTTGGGCTGCCGGCCCAACTGGCCAGCCCAGCTCTCAAGGGGCTCAGGGCTGCCAGCCCTGCTGGAGCGCTGGGGCTCGGGGCTGCCGGCTCCCCCGCTGACAGGGGCTCAGGTCAGGGCTGCCGGCCCCAACTGCCTGGCCCTGCTCTCCCTGGGGCTCAGGGCTGCCGGGGCTCCCCCGCTGATGGGGGCAGGGCTTGGGCTGCCGGCCCCAACTGCCCAGCCCCGCTATCCCTGGGGCTCGGGGCTGCCAGCCCTGCCGGAGCGCTGGGGCTCGGGGCTGCCGGCTCCCCTACTGACAGGGGCAGGGCTTGGTCTGCCAGCCCCAACTGCATGGCCCTGCTCTCTCTGGGGTTCGGGCTGCCGGCTCCCCCGCTGACAGGGGCAGGGCTTGGGCTGCCAGCCCCAACTGCACGGCCCTGCTCTCCCTGGGGCTCTGGTTGTCTGCCCTGCAACCAGGTCCACCTGCTGCCTCCAATGCCAGGGTCCTCTGGCTGCCATTAATGAATTTTTTCTTGCGAACCCCCTGTAACATTCTGTGAACCCCCAGGAGTTCAGCGAACCCCAGTTTGGGAACCACTGCTGTAGAGGGTACATCTCCCAGCCCAGGGAGACAGACTCACACTAGCAGGGCTCCAGCTAGTGTGCTAAAAATAGCACGGACGAGTCAGTTGGAGTTCTCAAGCCCACCAAGGCATCAGAGCGGGAGTTGCAGCCCAAGTCGCAGTGTCCACACCGCGATTTTTAGCACATTAGCTGGAGCCCAGCGGGCACAGGCTGGGAAGGTTGCTGCCAGCTGCATTCTAGATATGCCTACTCCTGTAGTCTTGTGGCGTGGCGTAGCTGAGAAGGGGCCAGCCAGCTGAGTTCTCTTCTGCCTCATGAATTATCAGCTAAATCCTGGCCTTGCTGCACCTTACACTTTGGGAGGACTCCACATCCAGATTCACTCCCAGCCTCGTTTAAATCCTTCCTGAAAACCAGCCTGTGCTCCAATTAAGTTGCTCAGGCTGGGGACCACCTGTGGCTACCAGGACCACTACAACTGCAACAGGATTCACAGAGCATCTGTCCCTGCAGTCACCCTATCTTCTTGCCCACCAGCATCTACCAACTGAATATTATCTAAGCCCTAGATTACTACGCCCAAGGGCAGGGACTGGCTCTGCATTATTTGTGCAATGGGGCCCTGATCCCTGGCTGGGCTAGTTAACGTTCTGCTGTAATCAGGGCTGGCTTTAGGCCGATTCCCCCAATTCCCCGGAATCAGGCCCCGCGCCCAGCCAGAGCACGGAAAGCCCATGGCCCCGCTCCCTGAGCTGGAGCGCCAAAGCCCCGCGACCCTGCTCCCCTGGCCGGAGCTCCAACCCCATTTTCTGCAAAGTCTTTCCTTGGAAAACTTTGATTTTCACCAACATTTTTCAATCTGCAATCAGGAAAATCAAAATGACCGGTTTTGTGACATGTCACCCCCAGCTGAAACATTTCCCTTTTTGAAAGCAAATCAGAAGGTTTCATTTCAGGTCAATTTGACACTATGATGGGTCCCCCTGAGCTGCCACAGAGCCTCGGGGAGTTGTAATTCGGGTGCCCATGATGCATCATGGTCACGGCCATAGCAACAAAGAACGTGGCCCCCTCCGAACATATGTCCGGGCGGCGCCCCTTACAATGCAGAAACTGGAATGCGGTATTTATTTTATACAATATTCAGGGTTCATATTATGTATACATAGGCCTACAGTGTACATGTATTCCGTATTTACGCAAAGCGCTTCTTTCGAGCCTTGTTCTCCGCAAATTGGTTGATCAATGCATCATAGTCCAGAGATCTGGCAATCTTGTTTTCGATTGAGATAACTGCAAGCGCAGAAAACCTGTCATCTGTCATGGTTGAGCGCAGGATATTCTTGATCAGTTTCATTCTGCTGAAGCTCCTTTCAGCACCAGCGACAGTAACTGGTGTGGTCAGAAGAATTCTGATGCAAATGCAAAGATTTGGATATATTTCCTGAAGGCTGTTCTTGTATATGTACGTTAAAAAATTGCTTGCCGTGACAAGTCCTCTCTCTTTCTCGATGACATAAATAAAACAAATCAATTCCAATATGAGTTCGTTGGCATCAATGTCTCCCATTTTTCTTTCAAAATTTTTGCTGTGATTCTCCAGCTCATTTTCTCTGTGACACTGCTTCAGGCTGTTAGTGTTGTACAGAAATCCAACCAACTTATACCACTCCACGAGTTGGTCAAATCGTGACGAAACAGAAGACATGGCCTGATCAGTGAGAACAAGAAAGAACTGCGATTTGAATTTTTCTTCGGCAGAAAGACGACTCAAATCATCAGCACATTCGTAATCAAACATTCTCTTCTTACGTCGCACCCTGGTTTCTGGAAACACCTGCTCAATACCCATATGCTCTGCTATTTCACGTGCATTTGTGACCACAGAGATATATCCTGTATTTCGATAGTCTTCCAAAAACTTCTTTGTAGCACCGACTTCTGCCTGCAGTACGTCAATTGACACATCTGGTGACTGAATTAATTTGCTGGTTTTATTGACGTGAAATAGTATATCGTACCACGTGTACACAGTCAGAACAAAAGGCCATGTAGTAACATGGTCTAAAAGCGCACCGGCTTTCGTTGCTGTATTGCCATCTTTCTTTTTGAGCGCATATTCTCGCAAAGATGACAAAGCATTGTACAATTCTTCAAGGTGATAATGCAATGGCTTCACAGCATCAATTCTCGACTCCCAACGAGTGTCCGATAACCCTTTAACAGATATTGGCATATGTTCTTGAAGTATATCCCAACATGAAGGTGAAGAAGAAAAGATAACGTATATTCTGTTAATCAGACCGAAAAAGTCAACGGCATATTTCGATGACGTTGCCGCATCTGAGATCACAAGATTCCAAGTGTGAGCTCCACATGGCACATACAAGGCATGGTCATTTATTTCTAGCATGCGGGCTTGAACTCCTTTATTCTTTCCTCTTATATTTGCGCCGTTATCATAAGCTTGGCCTCTCATGTCAGCAATGTCTATTCCTAAGTTGTTTGTCTTTTCAAGAAACGCTTCCAATAAACCCTCGCCAGTTGTATCATGAACATTAAGAAAACCAACAAACGCTTCACGAATATTGACACCATCTTCACCGTTGCATTCAACACAGCATAACACCACAGACGTCTGTTCTTCATGTGACACGTTGGGAGTACAGTCCAAAATAACTGAATAATATTTTGCTTTTTTAAGCTGCGCTATGTTGGCCTCTTGAATGTTACTGGCAACAAGTTGAATCAGCTCGTTTTGGATCTGTGGACTGAGGTACTGAACATGTGTCTCTGCCTTCTTAATCCTCTGTAAAAGTTTGCTGAGGACAGTATCATACTTTGCAAGCAATTCAAACAGTCCCAAAAAGTTGCCATTCGAAGGATCGCCGAGCTTTTCATTACTTCCTCGAAATGCCAAGTTTCTTTCGGACAAGAAAATAACGACATCAACCATGCGTTTGACAACATTTCTCCAGAAATCTCTTTCTTTCAGAAAAGCCTGCAATTCGAGTTGGTCAATAGATGTATGGTTTACTATGCCTGACCGAAGGTCAAACCATTTCACCATACAGTCTTGATGACCTTTGCCTGTTTCATGCTGCTGAAGTCTTTTTGACAGTGCTTTCCAAGCAGATGTTCCACAACGTAGCGGTATGTCGCCAGTGCCAAATAATTTACAACAAAAACAAAAAATGGCATCTTTCTGAACTGAGTACATTAACCATGAACGTCTTATTTTCTCGCCATTTGCCATGGTTCGATAGAAATGAGTACTTGTGAACCTCCGTCTTTCCTCGTTAAATGGAAATTTGTAACTTTCATTCTGCTGCAGTGGGCCACGTGCAACAATGTCACACACTTGCCTGTCCGATATTATAGACGGCCAATCTCCTGGATCATCAGTCAGTGGTTCAGATTCAGATACTTCTTTCCCGGCAGCAGCTGGAATATCTGTCACAGTTTGTTTGGTAGAACAACTGGCTTCACCTTCGACCTCACTTGAAGCACTTCTGGATACTTCTGCATACGATTCGTCGCTGCTAGCGCTGTCCGTTTCACGTGCCTGTACCTGTACGTTGGATTGCAGCGCAAAATACGTTGACAACTTTGGAATTTTCTCAAGTTCCTTCTCGGCATCTTTTGCTGCCTTTCATTTACTAGCTCCACTCTTATACGTTCTCTTAGACATCACAAAGCACGGTTCTGCGTTGGAAACGAATCGTTTCAAACGATAAAAAAATTAAACAACTAAATTAATAACATTTATCCGCCAACCGCCATTATGAACGCAAATACACATTCTTTGAATGGGTCCAACTAAAATTCGAAACTGACCGACAGACAACTGATGTAGCCAATAGCATTATGATATATCATAACAACTTCACGGTTTTGTCAGTAAAACCGACATGGATTGTGCAATAGCGTCAATAAATATAAGGTATAACTAGGTAAGTGACTTTTTTTTTGCCACTTTTAGGGGCCCCTTCCTTGCGGGGCCCCCTGCGGTCGGAGAGTACGGAGGGCGCTCGCTACGCCTCTGATCATGGTTTCTCCTCTAGCTGAAGCACTGCATCATTAGAGACACTGCTGCATCATGGGAAATGTAGTCCAACTGGGGAACCCGGCACATAGAGGCTAACAGAGGCATTTGACATACAACTCCTATGAGGCAACCCAGTAGCTCAGACACAGTTCAATGTTGAACAGATCTGAAATGGAACATTTTGATTCAAGAATGTCAAAATGGTTTTGATTGAAAAAAAATTGATATTTTGACATTTCATCCCTATATTCAGGATGGAAACCAATGTCAAACTCTCAGAACTGGCCTCTGGGATAGCAATTCTGATTTTCTCTCAGCTTTAATAGACTGATGAATTGTAGATCTTGGTGGCAACAGACAGCTTTTGAAGGGGACAGTGGCGCAGGACAGATGGGAAAAGGCATCAGATAGATCCCATGAGATCCCTGGGTCACAGGCCAAACTTCTGTTCATTCTGTTGGGTGAGGGCAAGAAAGGTGGCAATCTAACCCAAAGAAATTACATACAGAAATCTGCATTGCCACAGCATGAGGCTTGCAGTTAAAAAAATCACAATCAGGAGATGCATATGTTAGTGTTTCAATGGCAGCATTAATTCAGGCACATTGCAGAGAGAACATCCTGTTTCCTAGTCCTGGTTCTTTGTTACCTGTGTAACTTAATTTAGTACTGTTCATGTCATAACGTGTAGGCAGTAAAAGCACCAAGGATCCAGCTTTTGGTAACCTTCCGCTTTCCTGTCTTTTTGTGTTATGAGCCACACAACCCTCAAGTTGCACTAATATAATTTTTGCATTGAACAGAAAACCATGAGGCTTGCTCCCTGATTTGCTGCTGTGTTCTAAATGAAAATACTTCTTTGGGTTTCCTTCCTTGACCATCCAACTCTCTTTGTTACTTCCAAGTGCAGTTCTGTTCTGAAAAGTAACTGAGTAAAAATAGCCGTTCCTTGCTCAGTAGATGTATATTCTGTCATATTTGAGCCCTGTAGCAATAATAATAATGTGTTGCTGCTTTTTTTACTCCCGTTACCCTGCAAAGCCAGCCCAGCTATAATGGAAGAGGGAGCTGGAATTTAGTGCATCATCCATAGAATTAGTTACAAAATTCTGGACAGTGACCCCTGTGCAAACCCATCAATGGTAATAGGGGTACATAGGTGTCGCCAAGGTCTGAAATTTGTTTACAGTGGGGTCACTGAGTGCAGAATGTGCGTCACTGGTGATTACTAGAGCTGGTCAGGAAGTGATTTTTTTTCTTGGGGAAGGGAGGAAAAAAACAAAAAATGGTTTTTCATTGTCAAATTTTTCTTTGAAGTTGTGTGTATTTTAATCAGAAACCTGAAAAACAAAAATGTTCAGTTTCCAGCCACTGAAAAATATTCTATTTCTGGCAATCCAAAACCAAAAACAATTTCAGTTTCTAATAGCTGGGGAAAAATCCTTGGTTTTTTGTTTTTCCACTTTGTTTTTTTATGAAGACCTGAACCTGTTTGATGCAAACAGGAGACAAAACACAATGTTTAGTCAAAAAGCTGTTTCCACCGAAAAAAACATTTTGACAGCTCTGGGACTGGTGCACAGGAAGGAAAGACCTGGCTTAGATCCAGCATGAGTTTGTGTGTGGCACTGGCAGTTAGGGGAAAAAACAACTTCCAGGTAGGCGTGGCTAAAAGGAAGACTGCATGACATGGGGCCTTTGGGTGTAGAAAGCCATGCAGCTACATCACTACTTAGCATTGGCTCTCTAATTGGCCTATAATTATGTAGACAATACAAGCCCATTTATCCAGCCCCTTTAAATCAAACTCCCCTTTTCATCCAAATTTCAGTAAGATCACTCTGGATAATTATCCACTGGGTTGTGCTTTTGATATGCCTCCTCCCCACAAAAAAATTGGATAAATGAGGATTCAGTCTTATAAAATGGTCAGCAGATCCAGGACGTAGTATTGACTTTCTGTGATTCCACCTATCATTCCTTGCAACTGAGGTGCTACCCCAAGTTTCATATAGGGCCAGATCATTCTTTCATTGACTAGCAACAAACCTCAGAATTCCCCAGCTCTCCACTGATATACCGGTATATTTTAGCACATGTTTCTAACCTGGTGGTCCACAAAATTTGACCGTTACTTGGTCGGTGAGTGTCTGAAAATCACCCATCCTGTTCCTTAGCTCAAGTACAATTTAAAAAAGGCAAAAATATCATGTTTTGGAAGAAAGAAAAACATTTTTGTGAAAGCTGTTTGAAGCAGCTCAGAGGTTTGGAATACTAGAAATAGCTCCAGCAGAGTGCAGGTGAGATGGCCAAAGTAGAATGATACATGCAGGTGATCACATTGATGGCAGTCACTTCCAGACGAGGAGCTACCAGTAGCGAAAATCCCACAGTGAGTTAGAAAAGAGATTGTGTTGCAGATCTATGATGTGATCAAAGGACTGCTCTTTGCTGCTGAGCTATCATAACCAAATAATACAAACCTAGTCAAACTGTAGGGAAAAGCCCAAGGCATATTTTAAGCATTTTATCAAGAGACTAGCATGAATCAAAACCCGGTATCCAAATAGCCCTGAACTTTGTGGGGTTTGAAATCCCAGTCTGAATCTTGCAGCTCATCCTTATATGTGCCCTTAATTAAAGTCAAAAACTTTGATAGCAAATTAGCAGCCACATACGCTGATCAACTAAATGATCTCTGATGGCCTAACAAAATCTGTGGACTGACTGAATTAACTCTGATGGCCCAATCTCACCACTCACCTAGTTTCATATGTTCTTGAAATTAAACCTAAAGTATAAAGACACCAAAGCATTTTTTCTCCTGGTTTTCTACAGCTTCTTTCACAAGGAAAATCTGACAAGAGAAGGACAAGGACAAAGACCACGACACTGTAATATGGTTTAGTGTCCTGTTAATTTTTAAAGCTTTCTTTGTGCCCATCCCTCTGAGGACAAGCAAAGCTCACAGACAGTCCTTTCCTTGCATACACTGCTGGGGTGTGCCAACCAATTCGCTCTCTTTCCATTTCTGTGAGGGCCGTTCCTTAGTCTGTGATCTTGCCACTCAGGGAAAAGCCAAACTGGGCTGTGCTGTCACTAAATAACTTACAATGCAATTGTGAATGAGAGCTGGAGGAACATTTTTGGAACCACTCTAGTACTCACCAGCCACTTATTTTCTTAAAGAGGAAGCAAATGCTTTTCCTTAGCTGTCATTTCACCTCTTCTGCATTACCAACCCAGGTCATTCCTGGTTCCCCAAAGCCAGCAGTAGCACCTCTGCAACAGGATCTCAGGCAGAGTTGGTAATTGTAATCATTTGAATTTGGGATGAGGGTACTGCATAATAAATGGTCACCCAGCCTTATTTTCACTGCCTCCTTGTGCCCCACTGTGTAATACAAGCTGAGACCAATCCAGCATGCTGGAGCCAGCTGATGCTTGTCTGGGTAATTGGCTGATCTAAATGCTCTTGGGGGAAGCAACAAGGGGATAATTTGAAATGCAGCCTGGGCCCATCTCTTTAGTGCTGTGCACCTAATGGCTATCCTTGCCTGTCAGGTAGGTAGTGTTATCCCCGAGGCAAAGAGCAGTCACTAGCCCAAGGCCACACAAGGAGTCAGTTGCAGAGAAGCTCCTGGTTCCCAGCCATGTGCTTACCCCACTAAGTCCCACTCGGCCCAAATTATTCTCTCTGTCCTGCCTTAGTGACAAAGTGCCATCAGGGCCCCGTATTCATATGTCCAAGGCCAGGGCATCTTTGGATGCCAATCTTACTGTTTCTGCATGGCTCAGGCTGGTAGTGGAAGCTCACCCGGCTGGGGCTAGCACTGTGCTTCCCCCCCACTACACACACACACACACTCTCACCTCCAAAGCCCTCTCCACACCAGCAAAGCTGAGATCCCCAATTCACCACCTGTGGGAGCTGTATTGTGGACAGGGCTCGGCCGCAGCACCAACCCATCAAGGACAAATGCAGAGTCCTGCACTTAGGACGTAAGAATCCCATGCACCGCTACAGACTAGGGACTGAATGGCTAGGTAGCAGTTCTGCAGAAAAGGACCTAGGGATTACAGTGGACGAGAAGCTGGATATGAGTCAACAGTGTGCCCTTGTTGCCAAGAAGGCTAATGGCATTTTGGGCTCTATAAGTAGGGGCATTGCCAGCAGATCGAGGGACGTGATCGTTCCCGTCTATTCGGCATTGGTGAGGCCTCATCTGGAGTACTGTGCCCAGTTTTGGGCCCCACACTACAAGAAGGATGTGGAAAAATTGGAAAGAGTCCAGCGGAGGGCAACAAAAATGATTAGGGGGCTGGAGCATGACTTATGAGGAGAGGCTGAGGGAACTGGGATTATTTAGTCTTCAGAAGAGAAGAATGAGGAGATATTTGTTAGCTGCTTTCAACTATCTGAAAGGGGGTTCCAAAGAGGATGGATCTAGACTGTTCTCAGTGGTACCAGATGACAGAACAAGGAGTAATGGTCTCAAGTTGTAGTGTGTGGGGGGGTTAGGTTGGATATTAGGAAAAACTTTTTCACTAGGAGGGTGGTGAGGCACTGGAATGGGTTACCTAGGGAGGTGGTGGAATCTCCTTCCTTAGATGTTTTTAAGGTCAGGCTTGACAAAGCCCTGGCTG